CACTGATTTTGATGTTTCTCACATGTTTCGGTATGTTGTGTTTTTGTTTTCATTTCTTTTGAAAACATTTTTAATTTCTGTCTTTACTTCTTCATTGACAAAGCAATCATTCAGGAGTGTGTTGTTTAATTTCCATGTATTTGTAAACTTCCTTTTCATATTGATTTCTAGCTTTATTTTACTGTGGTCTGAGAAGGTACTTGATATTATTTTCATTTAAAGACATTTGTTAAGACTTGTTTTGTGGCCTAACATGTGGCCTATCTTGAGGAATGTTCCATGTGGTGATGAAAGAGTATATATTCTCTAGGTGTTGAGTGGACTGTTTTGTAAACATCTGTTAAGTCCATTTGTTCTAATGTCCATTTTAAGTCCAATATTTCTTTTTTGATTTTCTTTCTTAAAGATCTCATTAGTGCTGTGAGTGCTAGGGGTAGGGAGAGGTTTGGGGATGGGAGGAAATGGGGATGTAAGTCAAAGCATACAAAGTAGCACACATGTAGAATGACCAAGCCTAAATATCTAATATACAACATGAGAAGTATAGTTAATGAAATTGTATTATATTAGAAGGTTTTGGTAAATAAGTAAATTTTAGCTTATCTAGTTATTAAAAAGTATGTGAGGTGATAGATAATGTTAATCTGTATCACTATAGTAACTATTTTACTATTTCCCTATTTTCCATAAGATCATGTTATAAACTTCAAATATATACAATTGAATATATTTTTTAAAAAGTAGGCCTCCAAATCTCTATTTACATCAATTTGAATTGTCGTTTAGGTAACCCAATATTCTCAAGTCTCAGCACTATATTTGCTGTCTAGATTAATTTAATGTCATTTGAACTATAGCATCTTCTATGAGGTAACAATGAAGTTGAAGCCTCAGAATATTTTATCAAAAGTACAAGGTCTTTGGAGTCAAATAGTGTTCAATTCCAATATTGGCTCAGCCACTTACTAACTTGGAACAGAGAAAGAATTTGCTTAATTACTTGTGCTTCATTATCTTAACTAATAAAATGGGATAATAATTTCTAGTTCACAGAATTATTAGTGGAATTTTATTATTAATAGATAATGTAAGCAAACTTTGAAGCTTAGCGATGGCCACAAGATAGCTCTTATTAATTAGTGGATTTTATTATTATTATTACCAAACTTCTTGAGAAAATCCAAGTACTTCTGAGGCAATTAGACTTTCTCCCAGACATTTTGCATTTTTATCCGGATGTTTCACTTATTTATACAATTATATGCATGATAGACTGTTCTGTAAAAATAAATACTAACCCTGTGAAATTTCTTCATGCCTAAAATAGTTTTGTTTTTGCATATTTTTGCTTGCAGAAAAATGTCACACTTCCAATTTTCCAAGTACAAATTGTCAAATAAGTCCTATGTAAAAGAGAGCCGTTTCTGAAGTCAGTAAATACAAGGGAAGTTAGTAAAATTTTTCCCTATTTAACTTTCTTTCTCATGGTTACTTAGCAACCAGCTAGTACTTTTGAAAAATCTCCTTTGAATACTAAATTACCTTTGAGATTTGTGTTTATTTCTAAATTGAGCATCAAATATGCAGTCACCATTTCCCTAAAGGACACAATTGAAAACTAGGTAGTATTACTTCATTACCACTAAGATACCAATGTTTTGCCCTGCCTCTTTAGTAATGCTATTATGTGCTGTTACTAATGCATAACAAATTCATAAGAAAGTTTATGAGAGTAGAATTACAAATAAAAGTGTGTCATGCAGCCAAGAACCCCTCTTTAATATTTAATATGAGCATTCCTTATTTGCTTTGAGAACACACTCATAAAGTGTTGTATAAATAAGGTAACAGTACATTCTGGTTTGCCTGGGATGGATCTAGTTTATATCTGCTGTAAATCAGCTAAAACTGTTATTTTAGCACTTTTCATTCCCCAAACTATCTTGTTTTGGACAATAAATTACATGGTCACCTCAGATTTAAAAATTTTGAAGTCACTGCAGAAGAGAACAATGGAAATAATAAGAGGCATTGGGAATAGCACTTATGAAGAAATGACTAAAGGAATTGGGTTTATTTATTTGTTTTGTATAAATATTGAGTTTATATTTATATTGAGTAGTATATATACTAATACTATGTATTGAGTTTTGTATAAATAAAATCATACTACACGTATTATTTTATAATTTATGTCTTTTGCTCAACATTATGGCTTTGAAATACATACATATTGTAGCATGTATCTATACTTCAATTATTTTTGTTTATGTATAGCATATTCCATTGTTTAAATACCCCATACTTTATAAATTGTATTGTTAGTGGATAGATGAGTTATTGTCAATATGGGCCTATTACAGTGATGCTAATAACATCCTGGTAGGTATATCATGATGGACATTTTTACATGTTTCCCTTACGTGAAAAGATTGGGGAAATCATTGTTTAAATACTTGCTGTAGCATTGCAAAATCCTTCCTTAACATGACCTGGTGTCCTCTTCAATTGATGGGTACTAGTTCTGGCTTGGAAATTAGATAAGGAAATATGATTTTTTATTGTGGGGACCGATGACTGTCTTCTGAGGTCTCTGCATGGTCTCCAAGCAAGGAGAGGCTACTTACTATACTCTAGCATGGTAGAGTGGAGCATTTATGCAGCCCAGGGGGTTCAGGATAATCTGGAGGTTCAAGATTTGCAAGCAAAGAAGTCCAGGTGTTTTCTGTCCTAGATCTCTGGGTTCCATTCCTTCTTTATCAAGACTCTGTATTTGGCATAGGAGAATTACTGGGGCTGTAAATTTAGCATTCTTTGAAATTTAAATACTTTTACAATTAGATCTTGCATCTGAATTTCAGTCTGCCCTCTTGATATAGGAAATGAGGGTCTTTTTAATGCTGTTTTGAATAATATTCTGAATTCAGATCCTGCAGTCAGTTGAATTGTGTTTCCCAAAAGATATATTCAAAGCCTTACCCCCAGTATCTCTGAATGTGACCTTATTTGGAATTGGAGTCTTTGCAGATATAATCAAATTAAAATAAGGTCTTACTGGATTAGAATGGGCCCTACATTCAATGACTAGTGTCTTTACAAGAGAAAGGAGAGGGAGATTTGGAGACACAGAGACACAGACACAGAGGGAAGAAGGCCACGTGGCAATGGAGGTAGAGGTTGGAATGAATCAAACTGTCGGCCAAGGAACATCAAGGAACATCTGGCAACCACCAGAATCTAGGAAGAGGCAAGGAACAATTCTTTCCCAAAGCTTTCAGACAATTCCACGCCCTGCCAACATCTTGATTTTGGACTTCTAATTTCTAGACTGTGAAAGAATAGATTTCTGTTGGTTTAAGCCACCCAGTTTATGGTACATTGTTATGGAAGCTGTAGGAAACTGACATACATCCCTAACTTTCTAATTTTATAATTACTGCAGCCCCATATCTTTTAAATAATAGAGCTATCACATAAGTGTAGGGACCCCATCTTACACAAGTGAGAGTCAATAAATATGATGCTGCACCACCAGGAATGGGATTCTTGTTGCTCTGTGCCCAAGGAGTTAGTCAATTTCCAAATCCTTCCTGAAGGTGCTGCTTCTTAGAACAACTTATGATATCAATTATTTTATTTTGAATTCTCTCAGAGACAGAGTTTGAGTTAAGGACTTCAATGCATGTGGTTTATTTTGGGGTGTGTGTGAAGAAAACACTAGTAGGGAGGTAAGGAAGGTAACCAGCTACCACGTGGACAACTAGAGCTTAAGCCCACTAGACAAACTTAGATAGCTGGTGGGAAACACATCCCTCAATTATCCACTGGAGGGACAATGGAGGTGGAGTGTATTTATACCAATTCCCATTCGTCATTGTTTGAGGGTGCTCCTGGGGCATTTTCCCAAGCACTTCTGGCCCACTTGGACAGCACAGATCCACCAACCATCAACACTTCATACACTGGCTATCTAGTCCTTTCTCTTAATATCTTTCTCTTTCTCTCATTATGTACATATATTAGATATATTTATGATATTAAAAGTATACATACTTATATGTCTATTATACATACATATAAATATAATATACTTTTAAATGTATGATGTATAATATTCTAATATCACAAATATATATAATATATACATATCATATATATATTTTATACATTTTTTAAAAAATGACTTGAGAATGGTTTACCACAGATGTTTTTAGTGTGCATTTTCTAATAGAAAAAGGATATTCTCTTACATGACCATTATGCAACCATCAAAATTAGGAAATTTATCATCAATACAATACTATCATCTCAGCTATAGCCCTTTACATTTTTTCTAGTAAGCCCAATAATATCCTTCATGGCATTTTTTTTTCCTGGTCCAGGATCCAATCTAGGATCATAAATTTCACTTAGTTGTTTAGCTGTCATTTCTTCTTCTTCTTCTTTCTTCTTTCTTCTTCCTTCTTCCTCCTTCTTCATCCTTCCTCCTCCTTCCTCCTCCTTCCTCCTTCTTCCTCCTTCTTCCTCCTTCTTCCTTCTTCCTCCTTCCTCCTTCTTCCTCCTTCCTCCTTCTTTCTTATTCCTCCTTCCTCCTTCTTTCATCTTCCTCCTTCTTTCTTCTTCCTCCTTCTTTCTTCTTCCTCCTTCCTCCTTCTTTTTTCTTCCTTCCTCCTTCTTTCTTCTTCCTTCCTCCTTCTTTCTTCTTCTTCCTTCCTCCTTCTTTCTTCTTCCTTCCTCCTTCTTTCTTCTTCTTCCTTCTTTCTTCTTCGTCTCACTCTGTTGCCTGGGCTAGAGTGCCGTGGCGTCACCCTGGCTCAAACTCCTGGGTTCAAGCAATCCTTCTGCCTCAGCTTCCTCAGTAGCTGGGATTACAGGCATTCGCCACCATGCCCAGCTAATTTTTTCTATATATTTTTAGTTGTCCAGCTAATTTCTTTCTATTTTTAGTAGAGATTGGGTCTCACTCTTGCTCAGGTCTTGAACTCCTGAGCTCAAACGATCCTCCTGTCTTTCTTTGTCTTTTTTAGACTGAAAGCATCCCTTAGACCTTGTTTGTCTTATGGCATTGACATTTTTGAAAAGTATAGGTCATTTAATTGTATAATAGAATATCTCTCAATTTGGGTTTTTCTGATGCTTCCTCATGAAAATATTCAGATTATGTATTTTAGGTAGAAATATATAAAGTTCTCCTTACTTTGTATCATATGACCCTGCACACTCTTTCCAGGTCATAGATGGTTATCTGAAGAGCAGCCAGTGTTCTATCAGGAAGGTGGAATGAGAGTTCTTTGCTCAAGAGTAATCTCACTGGATTATGACAGGTGAGGCAATCAGATGTTTATTCTGCAGGAATCGGAGACACTCAAGAGAAAGGTAGGCACAGCAAGAGTGATAGAAGACAAAGGAGAATAGCTGAGTCACACTCAATGGCAGAACACCAGAATGTAGCTCAAAGATTGCCAGTTTCTCAGCAGACAAGTGTTAGAGTTGTTGAGACACCAGAACCACTTTCAGATCTAATAGAACAACTGTTGTATTGTACACAATATTTTGGTTCCTTGTGAGGCTTGGTTTTGTAGCCATCTCTATTCTATGTGAAGCTCTAATTAGCTGAGATAATCTAATTGTGTCTCTCTTCCCTCTACATTAAGAATCAAAATGATTTAAGTAGATGTGGGCTATGACTTGTAGGATCTTATGAAATAGAGATGTCAGTGATGGAGGGAAATAATCAGAATACTTACAACGATGTACTATTTTATTTTTGTGGAGGTATAATTCACCATAACATAAAACTCACAATTTTAAAGTATGCAATTCAGTACTTTTAATATATTCACTATATTGTACAATAATCACCACAATCTAATTTCAGAACATTTTCATCACTCCAAAAAGAAACCCTGTACATATTCATGGTCATCACAATTTCCCTCTTCCCTCATTTTCTGGTGAGTCCTAATTAACGTTCTGTCTCTATGGATTTGCCTGTTCTGGAAATTTCACATTAATGGAACCATACATTATGTGACCATTAATGTCTGGTTTCTTTCACTTAGCATAGTGTTTTCAAAGTTCATCCATGTTGTAGCATGTAACACACTTACATTCCTTTTAAGGCTGAATAAAAGTTTATTGTATCGTAATGTACAATATTAATATATATCACAATTTGCTTATTCATTCATTATTGACAGGCATTGACAGGCATTTTGGTTGTTTCCACTTTGGGCTATTATAAATAATGCTGTTATGAATTTTCATGTAAAAGTTTTTGTGCGAACATTTGTTTTCTACTCTCTTAGATATTTACCTAGGAGTAAAATTGTTGGATTGTATGGTGATTTTTTTGAGAAACTTCCAAACTCTTTCTACAGCATTGGCATTATTTATGTTCCTATCAATGATATAGAAAGGTTTCAATTTATCCACATCCTTACAAATATTTGTTATTGTTCCAATTATAGCCATCCTAGTTGGTATGAAATGGTATCTCACTGTGGTTTTTATATACATTTTCCTAATGGCTAATGCTGTTGAGCATTTTTTCATGTGTTAAATGGCCATTTAAATGTCTTTTTGGAGAAATGCCTATTCAAATCATTTGCCTGCATTTTAATCAAGTTGTCTTTTTATTGTTGATTTATAAGAGTCCTTTATATATTCTGGATAGTAGACTCTTATCAAATATATAATTTGGCAAATATATTCTTCCATTCTGTGGGTTGTCTTTTCACTTTCTTGATGGTGTCTTTTTAAAATTTTGATGAAGTCCAATTTATCTGTTTTTAATTTTGTTACTTATGCCTTTGGTGTCATACCTAAGAAATTCGTTAGGGTGCAAACTCTTACTGTGGGATGAGAAAGAATTCTTGACATAGATATTAGGATAAGTTTTAAAGAAAGAAGTTTATTTTACTTTTGAAGAGAGGAAAGGGCACAGCACGAAAGAAAGAAGTGTCGCCCCAAGGATAAGGGGTTTGGGTTTTTTATTGGGATTGAGGAGAGAGTCATTATTGTTGTAAAATGATAACAGGAGGCAGCTGTGTTTGTTTCTTTTTGTGCTAGGCTGACTTTATCAGTCTTCTTGGAATGTGTTCTGGCAGATGTGAAGAAGGGTTACATGCCTGCTGTTTGGTCAGTCCTCTTCAAGTGCTGTAAAACCAACTCTTAAAGACAACAAAGGAAGCCACAGGTGGTTAAGCAAACAAAGGGGCAGTTGTCCCTTGTGATTTTTCTCCTTTTTTTCCCCTCTGTTAGATAGTTGATTTTTTCTCTGTTAGATAGTTTATTAGTAAAGTCATCCTTTCAAAACTGTTGCCTAATCCATGATTGTGCAGATTTATACCATTTCCCTTCTAAGAGTTTTACAGTTCTACCTCTTACAATTAGGTCTCTGATCTATTGTAAGTTAAATTTTGTGTATGACATGAAGTAGGGGTACAAATTTATTTTTGCATGTGGATATTCAGTTGTCCCAGACCATTTATTGAATAAACCAGTTGAAGCAATGGAAGCATCATTTCCCTGTAGAATGATCTTGACACCCTTGTCAAAAATCAATTAACCATTGATGTATGGGTTGATTTTTGAAACCTCAGTTTTATTCTGTTGGTCCAAATATCTATCTTTATGTCAGTACTACACTGTCTTAATTACTGTAGCTTTGTACTAAGTTTTGAAATTGAGAGCTACTCTATGTCCCACAACTTTGTTCTTCTTTTTCGAGATTGTTTTGGCTATTCTGGGCTCCTTGAATTTCCATATGAATTTTTAAAGATCTAGCCGCCCAGCTCTGCAAAATAGGCAGTTGGAGATTTGCATTAAATCTGTTGAACAAATTGAGGCGTATTTCTATTTTAATAATATTAAATCATCCATTCCTTGAACATGGGATATTTTTTCATTTATTTAGATCTTCAATTTCTTTCAATTATCTTTCAATAGGTTTTGGAGTTTTTAGTCTACAAGTCTTATACATTTTTGGTTAAATTATTTTTAGTGTATAGAAATATAATTAATTTTGTATCCTGTAAATTTGCTGAATCCATCTAATAGTTATATTTTGTGTATGTGTGAAGATGTATTGCTTTAATGAAAAATTAGGACCACATTGTCTGGCTTCCACATTTGTGCCACATCACAGTTAAACACATTGAAACAGTTCTGTACTGTTTTGAAGGAACAGAGTAATAAAAGTCCTGCCTTCTTTCTACTATCTTTGAACAAGAGCTAAATGACTTTCTATCACCTCACCTTCCATTCTTTCCAGTGACTCTCGAGGCACCCAGAAGCCATATAGAAGATAAGTTCAATTATTAAGATTCCTACCTTTATTTTTGTGCATATTTCACAAACATAATTATAAAAATGTCAAAATTCTATGTTCTCTGAAAGATGAGAATTCAGCCAGAGTTTTAAAAGGATCAGATTGGACAAAAAACAAGGTAAATTAATGTATGTTTCTAAAATTTAGCAGAGTCTATATCCATGTCCAATCAAGTAACTTAATTAAATCACTCAAGATAAAAATAAAACAATGATTCAAAGTGGAACTATGAACACTAGAAAATAAATAGTAGCATTATAAAAATCTTAATGTAAATTTGTGGCTAATTGGATTCTACAGAAATGTAAGAAGCCATTCCAAAGTGATAGAAAACTGTCCACATTTACATGTTTAACTCAAGTGGATAATGAAAATATAAGTTTTATATTGAAACTTCTCTTTTCAAAATACAAACTTAAAAACACAATGTCTGTGAATTTCCAGTTAAAAAAATGCAAAACTAGAAAAACTAGAGTCTAAAATAATGCATAGAGTTTTATACTTTAAATTAGTATGTAAGTTTTGTAGTGTCAATTATCTATCCATCCACCAGATACCTAGCCATTTATCCATCTTTCTATGTATTGATCTACAGTTAAGTCTAAGGGTAGTTTGTAAATTTTATGCTTAAACAAAAAGATACATCTCACCACTCTATATTTAGCCTTCCTCTGGCCACCTACATTATGTTCAGGCCCTTTCCCTACTCGCTTCTTGAAACAGGTAAATACCCCTATACTTCTTGTGAATCTGAAACTGTCTCCTACTGTTTTTGGTTCCCTGGTCTGGATGACTATATTATGACTAATAAATATTTGCTGTTCTTTTTGAAAAAGCTTTATCTTTCCTTGGATTATCAAATGACAGTCTTGACCATGTGGTTGCTTTAGCCAATGAAATATGAGCATAACTGCCTTGCAACTCTTTAAGAGACATTTTTATCTTTTCCCTCTGGCTTAATAACCAGCAAAATTCTAGCTAGAGACTTCTACCCACCTAGGCCCTGCAGTGAATGTGATGTAGGGCAAAGATACAGCCAACCCAAGATGGACATGAGATATGATTGAGACATGAAACTGTGGTGGTTGTTAAGTCATAGATATTTTGGGGACATTTGTTACAAAAGTGTAACTGATACACCTAGTGTTTCAGCCTTTTCCAAAAAGCTACTTGAAGAGAGTATAGAGAAAAGGAATACAGTAGGAAATATTTTACTGTTTGGGAGTTGGGAGGAGAGATTCCTCTCCAGTGAAGGGGTATGTGCTGGCTCTCCCCTGGCTAGAGAGGTGAAGGACAGCCTCAAGATCAATCCCCACCTACTACTAGGTCCCTGGGAGTATGGGTGTGTGGGGGGAGGCGGGGTTTCCAGAAGGTAAAGTAACATGCAATGACTGGCAATGAATGACAGGTAGCATAAAGGTCAGAAGATAAATGAAACATTAAAGGACCTGTGCAATTTGGGTCTGATATCACATCACAAAGGGCTTTCAACCAGAATTTGAAATAGGCAGAACACAAGAAAAAGATGGAGGTGGAAAGAAGCTGGTATTCCAAGTTGGAGACCTTCTTCAACAAAAGCAGACAGGCAGAAAATCTCAGAGCATGTAATTTTAGAGTAACAAAGGATAACAACCCCAGAAATTGTTCTTCTAAGATAATTATATAGCAAACATATATTTTGCCTTACTCAATTATATTTTAGACTAATTATGTACTTTATCTTATATGTTCCACATATCACTATATGATATGTGGACCACATACCCACTATAAAGACAGTGGGTAAAGAAACAAACATGTTTATGGTAGTTCTATAAAGAAGAACTGGAAAAGAAAAGAGAAAAATAATGTCTTGTGTATTTAATGCCTAAAGAGAATATCAAACTTATTAAAATCAAGAGGTGAACCATTTCATACACCTCAGTTTAATATGGAGACATGAGTTCAATTATGCTTAGTACATTGTGCATTGTTATAATCTATTTGATTATT